ATAATAATAATAATAATAATAATAATAATAGTAATAATAATAATAATAATAATAATAATAATAATAATAATAATAATAATAATAATAATAATAATAATAATAATAATAATAATAATAATAATAATAATAATAATAATAATAATAATAATAATAATAATAATAATAATAATAATAGTAGTAATAATAATAATAATGATAATAATAATAATAATAATAATAATAATAATAATAATAATAATAGTAATAATAATAATAATAATAGTAGTAATAATAATAATAATAATAATAATAATACCTCTAATAGTGTCAGACATCCAGCAATCTGCGCCGCCTCAGCTCGCGTAGCCATGCCCAACTGTCGGTACAGATAGGCCAATGTAGCCGAACCCCAAGAATACTCGCGAATCAGATTGATTTCCTCTAACAGTGGGAAAAAATCTGCTCTGACCTTCGATCTACTCTTATCCACGAACAACAACTTTCCGAGCAAGTATGCAATATATGCTCGTACCCGATACGCGGAAGGAAATGTAGAATTGTCGCCATACTTCACCTCCAAATCATCTAACCGGGGTCCGCCACCATACCACCACTGCTCCATAAGTGCGGGGTCGACCCCGAAAGCTCTCGCACGAAGCTGGATCGCGTCGGCCTTATCCATCCAAACGTTAGGGCGAATTCCACTAACTCGCAAACCCATGATGAAATGCACGTCGTGGAGGGTAATTGTCATCTCACCGAATGGCATGTGAAAACTGTTGGTGTCTGGCTGCCACCTCTCAATAAAAGCCTCTATTAGTGGGTTATTGTGCTGAGGCAGCGAACAATCACGCAAGTGATACAAGCCCGTACTCTCCAGTAGTGAGACACAATCATCGTCGTCGGGGCCCGGCCAAGTACACTTCGCGTGCGACCGTAATTTAACCATATGTCGACCCTGTTAAAGATATATTCATATATAAGTATACCACAATCAAGTGTAAATATTATAAACAAAATTTATTAATATTAATAAGTATTACCTTTCCCTCCCAAATGTCGTAGGCAATATGTGCTCCAAAACTCGGAATCAAGTGAGTGTATTTAGGTCCACCGGGTGTCTCACCAGTCAACACCCAAGGTCGAGAAGGAAGTTTTTTTCTCGGAGCGGTGCGGGACCTCGAGACAGGATTAGAACCACCGAAAGTACCACCCATCGGGACAGGAGGCGGAGTCGGAGTAGGAACATGCTCGTAATTGTCATCGGATGGAAAATCCGACACCGGAAACTGATACTTCTGCTGAAAGCGTAGTTGTGGATCGTACTCGTACTCCTGCGGATGCATATATGCATCCATGGGTGCATCCATCTCCTGCTCGGCCTCTGTCTCTGTCTCCTCCTCAATCATCGTACGTGGGGGTACAAAAGCACCAGTGCGTTCCCCACGACGTTTAGAACTGGTAACATTTCTATTATGTGTCCTTCCCTCCCGTTCCGCAGTAATCTCCTCCACCTGATCTGCAGGAGGACGAATCAGGGGTCCTTTCCCTTTTCCCAGTCCGAATTTTTTCGCCCAATTAGACATCCTGTAAACATAAAATTATTATAATTTCATTGAATTAACTAAATTATATTAAATTTACTAACTTATTTTTAATTCTGAAAAAAAAATATTTATTTTAAATCAGAAAAAAGAAAAAAAATTATATCGAACG